AAGTGGTTTTATTCGCATTAATTTGGTCACTTGCAAGCACTTATTTGACTGTAATATTCGTTTTTTAAATACTCCGTATATTCACATTTAGTAAGATATCTAAGGCCAGGTAACATGTTCACATACCACCTGGGAGCTCAATATTTAGTTGTGCAGTTATCATGGAAGTAAATTGTCCGCTACATCCAAGGGCCACATACTTTTCAACTCGAAATGAACTATTTCTCTTGTAAATACTCTTGATAAATAATATGACATATATCTCGCTACATACATGTATGCACTGCGTGCATCGTCGCTATACCATCTCCACACTAGTTTTTGGGATTTTCACCCAAATATAAATGTGCCGTATAGATTGGAACGCATTGGTTTTCAATTTATACCACGCAGTTTCGAATATGCATTCCTTGGAACCGCGTGGTTCCAATTTATTCTCTTCATCAGCGGCGACCCGTACCCCAAAGCCAAATGTAATAATGTATTGTATTTTATTCTTGTATTAAAATAAATAAACGATGTCTACCAAAGTGTGTCTTCTTTGATATAAATTTTGTTTTAATTGTAGACATTAAAGCTGGTTTATATCGAGAAGCGAGATCCATCTCTAATTAATTACAGTGATTAATAACTGGGTCAATGGCTGGTCGATGCTGGTCAACCTACCCCTCACTTATTCTTCAGTTGCCACGTGGAGATACAGGCTTAATTTCAGGCTAACCCACCCCCACCCCTTTCTCCATCGGGGACGGGGTCTTTAGGGTACGGATCCATCGCTGATTGGGGCTTTTCACCCTAATATAAATGTACCGTATAGATTGGAACGCATTGGTTTTCAATTTATACCACGCAGTTTCGAATATGCATTCCTTGGAACCGCGCGGTTCCAATTTATTCTCTTCATCAGCGGCGACCCGTACCCCAAAGCCAAATGTAATAATGTATTGTATTTTATTCTTGTATTAAAATAAATAAACGATGTCTACCAAAGTTTGTCTTCTTTGATATAAATTTTGTTTTAATTGTAGACATTAAAGCTGGTTTATATCGAGAAGCGAATTCCATCTCTAATTAATTACAGTGATTAATAACTGGGTCAATGGCTGGTCGATGCTGGTCAACCTACCCCTCACTTATTCTTCAGTTGCCACGTGGAGATACAGGCTTAATTTCAGGCTAACCCACCCCCACCCCTTTCTCCATCGGGGACGGGGTCTTTAGGGTACGGATCCATCGCTGATTGGGGCTTTTCACCCAAATATAAATGTACCGTATAGATTGGAACGCATTGGTTTTCAATTTATACCACGCAGTTTCGAATATGCATTCCTTGGAACCGCGCGGTTCCAATTTATTCTCTTCATTAGCGGCGACCCGAGCCCTCATTATCCGGTCAGCGCTAAATTAGCGTTGCGATTTGCGTTGCGCTTGCGAATCAACATTATTCGCAAGCGCAAATCATGGTTTGCGTCGTATTACGCGCTTCACGCAAACGCAGACGCAACGCAGACGCAACAGTATGCTAATCGCAAATAAATTGGAAACGCGGGAAATTTAAACTTAGAGCTCAAAATAGATTTATCGATTTTTTAATGTCTATGTATATGTTTACGCCAGTGCGGATGTGTCAATCAATGTTATCTATTTCAACTGGACTCAAGGAGGATTGGAAGCCAGGGTTCCAACTCGATATTCTTTAATCTCCACGCATGCGTCATTTGCTATTCGTGTCTGTATAATTTGTACGACTGCATGGAGAATGACCCGATACTCTCCAACAAAGCTATCGCTAGGTGATTGTCCCTACGGTCCCTCGGGTTGATATATTGTATTTCCCTCAGATATACCCTGTATCAAAAACCTCCCATTAAATAACCTCTATATATTTTCATCAGCGGTCAGATATAGCTATACGTCCCGCTCTGAGCGGGCAGATATAGTATATCTGCCCGCTGACGTCATAATCGCCGTTCGCATATTGGTTCATTTTTGTAACATGCGCATAATTACTGTAAACGTTAATGGAGAAAAGGCAGACCATCGCGATCTGTTTGAAGGAAGGAAATGAGCGTATCCCTGTTAAACAAGGATTTCAGAAATAAATGTGGATGAATATCTGAAAATCAGGCTATTCTAAATGAATTCTTACGGTTTGTTGGACATTTTCTGAACTCCGGCCAATTGAACAGCGTGAACAAAATGACCAAGATTGGTATGGGATAAACAGATCATCCTATAGTTCAATATCCTGAACCTCATATAGGATAATCTCTATTTATCCCATGATACTACTAATTCCCGATGAATAACCGTATTAAAATAAATAAACTTTATTATATCACTATCTAGCTAGCGACAGTATGATTGGTCAAAACCGGGTCACATGTCGTGGGATATCTGTCGATATTCAATGGCAATGCTAATCAGATAAGACAACCGTGAGATATCTAGCGATATCCCACGCTCCCGGGAATTTTCAAAGAATTTGTTTTCGTTCAGTGTAAATAATTTAGTTCAGTGTTAGTCAAAATGGCAGACGAACCGAGTAGATTCAATGTATTTCAATGTTAACCTATGGTTTAATAATATTAGGGATGTTTAGCTAGACAGTGATATAATAAAACAAATATTTCACTCTATTTTCGGTGAATACCTGTAGCACTTTCACAAGGTGATATTCCACTTGCCCTTCGGGCTTCGTGGAATATCACTTGTGAAAGATGTACAGGCATTCACCTCAATAGAGTGAAATATTTGTTCAATGTCTACCAACGTTCGTCTTCTTTGATATAAATGCATTCGAAATCAACTCACGGCATTTTTTGACACCAAACTGGCTTACTGTACCTCCGACGCTCATTTCTTACGTGAATCCTCTTTTTGATGTTCAGTAACGCCTGGACCCATGCGCATTTTTGAAACTTTTTCTAATACTTAAAAGTATTTAATGTCCAGATCCTTCAAAACAATTAATGTACTGGTAAATTTTCAATTTAAGCCGTTCACGTAGCAGTGCTTTGACTATCAAAAATTCTCTGAAAAAGTACCGTACTGATGGAATTCCCGAGGGTGTAAAGATGTTAAAAATCGAGATTTTAAACTTACCAAAATGGAGCAAACTCATCTTGCATGTTCCATTGAAAATGCAAGCCGTTTGCAGTTGTGTCAGATGTAATATGGCAATCCAAAATCGAAAACAGTTGTGATGCTTTTCAATTAAACGACCCCAACCTTTGTAAGCTTGAAATGATTAATCGTGACATCGTGACGGAATATATTTGCATGATGGTAATTTACTCTAATGATAGGTCACAATCATATGCTGATGTATGATCAGTTTATTGTATTAGAATGATGTCTTTAAATGTCATCAGTATAGTAAATAGTTGCGAATCATTTGTCCAAATACAGTAGCACAATTATTTATACTGAATAAAACAATTGTCAGAAAAAGGCGATGCGTTCTCTGCAGGACAGTTTTAGAAAGTTGGCGCGACAGCATATATCAATGATGCTTTTGACCAGTTAAAGCCAAAATTAAGGGCTATAATTGATCAAAATGGTGGATAAATTGAACGTCTGTTTGTGTAATAAAGTTGACAAAAAAATGTTTTGGAAAACCCGCTTCGAAACTAAAATGACACCATTTATAATATGAACGCTGGTTGACAGACATTATAATAAACTTGAACTTGTGGTATACCAAATTAAAGATAAGTGAATTCCCTATCCACTAGTATATAATATGACATTTATCAATATTTAATTTTGAAATACGAGTTTCCCATTTTTGGACTGTACTTATTTTACCAATTCTCGATAGTTTTAAGAAAGTGTCGGCCTCGCAACAACCTACCATCGAATTTGGGAAAAATTAAAAAATGGGGACAGGGGAGATTTAAAATGGAGATGGAGATGGAAAGATGTATAAGCATAATTCTCATACCAAAGTCGCATTAACATTCACAGACATGCGAATTCAATCGTATTCATCAAGTAGTTTTTGAAAAAAGATTTTCTCTCCAATTCGTAAAGAGAACGCAAAGATCCGTCCTTCAGTATTTGAGTTATCAAAAATTATATTTTTTAATAATGGCGGCCATTTTGAAATTAAGCTGCTTTCTTAAAAAATCCTTTTGAGCAGAGCTCATTTGTCCCTATGCATCAACATATAAAATGTAAAGCAAATCCTCCATTTGGCATTTTGGGTTATAAAATATTCCATTTTTATCAACGAATGGCCGCCATTTTGACAAATAGCAACCATCTTAATAATTGCTTGTTGAGCAAGTTCCTTTATCTCAATGTATCAGCATATTGAATTTGAACCAAACAAGTTGACTGTTAAAATATTTTTGCTACTAAAAATGGTGAAAACGTGTCATCTTGGAATTTTTTCTCAAGCAGAGCTCTTTTATTCAAAGGCATGAGCATTTAACATTTGAACAAAATCCCTCAACTGGAATTTAAGTTTTCAAAGTTACATTTTAAGAAAATGGATGCCATTTTGAAATTCAATGGTCATCTTGAACATCTTTATTCATAAGTCATAAGTCATAGTCCTTTGAAATTTGAACCAAAGCAATCTACCGGTATTTGAGTTATCACCCGGATACACGAACCACCAGACGGACGGATGAACGACTTCTCTATATTTCCCTCCTTAAGTCTTTAATCTCTTGAATATAAGGTTCTAGAATTGGGTTGAAACCAGGGAATTTTTCATTTTTGCCAGCCTTTGACATTTTACTACATGCATATACAACAGGTGATGCTCAATTTAGTGAAATTAGTCGGCAGAGATCATTTCTACACATTTTAAAACATTTGTGGTGTAAATTGGAGGAAAATTGTCAAAATTAGAGCAATTTCAGTGAAAAATGTTGTGGCGGAGTTTTTCGTCACTCTTGGTTTCAAGGTCGTTTCCAAGGTGACGAGAAATCTTGTCACTCTGGGTAGTCAAGAAGTTAAGCATTTCAGATTGAAAGCAACATAAATCATTCTTATTTCGAAAGGTCTTTACTAAAGTCTAGATAACATTTGATAAGTACATAAAAGGCAATTGAAAATAGGTCACATCAAATTGAGTCCATTCTACAAAAAATACATAACAGTATCATTATAAATATGTTAAACTGATGACGTCGATGGTCTATGCATTTCCAGGCATGAAATAACATCCACCACAAAGGTTTTTGTGGTTGGCGCCATTGTATATTCGTGCATAACTTCTGGTTGATCCATAATAGTATGCCGTCTCCGCTTCAACTTTGAAATCGTATTCGTCATTTCCCCACTTGGTGTAAAATTTACCACTGGCGGTGAAATATGTCGCATATAAATTTACTGCGTCCGTTTTTTGACTGGAATAAAACGTGAAATACATTGTTACTAAAATAATATTTTTGAAATGTAGCTTATAACATATTTTTATAACAGGGTGAGCCAAAAAGGGTTACCCAAACAAATCTTTATAACTCAGTCATCCTGCATGGGTGTATTTACTGTCATTGTTGACACAATTAGGCCTTGTCCAATGAATTGTCATTTTCTCAAGTTTCAGTGGTCTATCTCTAGTGGTCACGATTTTATGGCCATTTTACAAAACATGGTATAAAATATGGGCGTCATGTCTGGAGGCCAATTTGAACACATTGGGCGTAGTTGTTCACTACACGAGCATAACTTTTGCAAAACACTTGGAGCGACCATGCTATAGTATAACCAGCCACTTGAAACACCAATGGTGTCACCAAATTGCCTGTATATTATGATTGGACGACACATCTTGGTACCTTCAACATTTTATAAGTCTTCTACTTTACTCACGTGCCGTCTGTTTTGTTAAAGAAGTACTGTATTTCTCCCTGTAGTTTAGCAACTTGTGGGAACCATTTTGAATCAACAACCTTCTTAATATGCCCAATTAAACGTACATCACCGCCATCCGGGAAACATGTTTGACCCACAGGGACAATGCATTCGGTTACGATTCCTGGTTTCCAAGGATTTACTAAAAAAATAAAATTAAAGCATGCAATTTTAGGTAGAGCTTCTCCAAACAAGTGAACATAAAGTATAAGTATCTTTGTAACATTAGAGAGCTTTCGATAAAAGTCGTTTGGTCAACTTGTACTTCTAAATAAAAATACAGGGATACGACGTCAGATACTGTACATCACGGCATTTTACTGGATTTTTACATGCGTACTTACTTTTAAAAACGCGATATCTTGACAGCAAAATCACATTTTTCTACAATCTTTTGTCATTAGTTGAACATAAATGTCCACGAAATATTTTGTCTATCGGAATTCAAAATAATTAATTTGAAACTTTTTGAATGAGAACCACGCACGCCGTATTATTTGACCTTTTTGCTAAAACCGGGTGTGGACTTACATTTTGAAGAAAAATGATTTTAATTTTAAATGAGAAGGGAACATAACTTTTTATTTTCCAAACGGATCTTTCTCAAATTTTCACAATGTCTAAATTCACCATTTTGAAAAGAGACTTTATTTTTTTAGTTTAAAATAGTTAATTTTTGTGTCACTGATATTACAATATACATCACCCAAATTCAAAAAAATGTCCCAATTGATGTCGCCGTATGTTATCTCGGAAAATATTAGTGGTATATCTTTAATATCTGCATATATTTCATCAATAACCTCAAGGCCATATGTGAACATTCATTTTTGAATGAGAAATTCATAAATGTATTTTTACCAGGGCTCTAAAGTGTCAGAATCATTCGTTACTGTCGCCATTTTGAATTTTGATTTTCAAGTCGTGTTTACAGGTATTTATTATCACATTTTATTCGATTTCCAAACTACTTTACTTCGCACCCGCATGATTCTAAGAGAAAGTGATAAACATCTTGAACGATATATTATTTTGTACAGCCTTTCAAAGGGGTGTCGCCAGTTTTAGAAAATTCAGAAAAATCATCGTTACTTGGTTCATTCATTCCAATTATATGAGTCTGGAATTGAGATAAGAAATGAAAGAAAATGTAATTTTGAAAGATTGTTTATGTTTTCAATAGAGGACATGCGTCAAGTCAAAGGTGTGTCTGCATTTTTTCACATTTGCTTGTAGAAACAAGTCAGTGCCTTGAGTTCGTTTTAAGAAAAAAATGTTCGTTACCATCAGAAAAAAGTGTTAGACCACATGGTATAAGCTTTTACTCATTCCATAAAATGATATCAAACAAACAATAGAAAAAAACTACTTGGAGTTTGTGTAGCCCTCTTGCAATGAGCAAAAAGTCCAATTAACCACACGTTCGAAATCATTGTTACCGTATTATTCGTTACCATGAATACAAAGACTACAACTTTTTGCTAAAATGCGGCATTATTATTGGTTTTAGATTTATGACGTTAGTGTGTTAGAGTCTGCAGTTGCTTAAAAATTGGATGTTGCACTTCTGTCGCATGTAAATTCACACAGATAAGAAAATATAAATCACAGACGAGATCAGAAGAAATTTACTTATTTTGCCGATCATACAGAATATCCATACACAAAACTAAGTTCAACTTATGATTAAATAGTTTAATATTGCATAAAGCTAGCTTGGTTGTATTTTGATAGCTTGGGAATTCGATAAAACTTTGTTATAATCGGTGAATTCATCGTTATGTACGTAACGATGAATTCAATTATCTGTGTTAGGATTTTAAACATATGTGGCATTGGTATTTTTGTTCACAATTGATTTCCATCAAAACTAGAGGATCTGGTCGTCATTAGTTAAAAAATTTGCATATTTACGTTAAAATCGTATTAATTCATGACTAAAACATCAAATTAGTTATGGAACGGATAATCATGATATACTAGGCCCGGGGATATAAAGAGTATGCTTTATTCATAGAATATTATAAATGTTAAAAACATTTTTATATAATGCAAAAGAAATGCTGAAACCAAATGTATAGGTTTTCAACCATAAAAATCCTTTGAACAGTAAATTTTTGCAGATGAAAAAGACATGAGCAGAAGACAAAATGTACAGTAGCGTTTGAAAGCAAAAGACAATGAAAAGGGGAGAGAGAGAACGAATGAATTCGATCTAGACCTTATCGAATGAGTTATCTCAATCTGATAGACTGAAAAGAAATGCCATACAGCTCATGGACTCAATCTGATCATTGTTCAATGAAAGCTTTCAAATTAGCAGAGTAGCAGAGTAGCAGACCCATCAATGGCTGCACTGCCCTCATTTGATCATGAGTCAAAACACATGTTCCCCCTACAAATGTAAAACGGGGTAAAGTAGACAATAGCTAGGCAAGTGACTGACTGTTTTAGTGGTATTATATATTTTTCATTATGTAGAGAGATCATGTAGATATGATCAAGGCAATCTCAGTTGATGTTGAATTATTTTGTGTGGCACTTTAAGCATCATTACATCATTGTAACGAAACTTTCTTCCAAGGTGATTTTTTTGTTCAGCGAATGTAAGTATTACTTTTTGCTTGTATATGTTCGGGTGTAACTGAAACATACTTTTATCATTGTGTAAACAACAACCACCAACAAAAACGTTCTAAAAAGTATGATCATTCTTATAAATATACAAAAAAAGTTTTTCATATACAAAAATAATTGATTAGATCTAAAGTTTACGCAATAAACTAAATGTATATATGTAGTAACGGAGGTTTTTTATGCCTTATTCCAATAAATTTTGGTCGACATATAATATGCCATATCTTGAAAACGAGGAGGAGATTGTTGAAAATATTTCACAGTATTATCTATCAATATATGTTCTTTTGTCTCAACAAAAAATGATCAGTGTTACTCTGACTTCAAAAATCAGATTTTTCAAACCTTAATTGGGACATTTTTTTTAATTTGAGTGCCATATATATGAGAGATGGATATTGCATAATAAATACATATGTTGCACTAAATGTGAGTAGCATGTTGCATATGGTCAAATATCACAATAAATACAAATATTGCACTAAATGTAAATTGCATAATGCATATTGACGAAGACAGATACTACAATAAATATATATATTGCACTAAATGTGAGGTGCATCTTGCATAATAAATACATATATTGCACTAAATCTGAGTAGCATGTTGCATATGGTCAAATATTACAATAAATATGACTATTGCACTAAATAAGAGTAGCACGTTGCATACAATGTTTTTTATCACGAAGATGGCCGAAATATTTATATCACGAAGATGACCGAAAATATTATATGGCCGAAGATGATTGAATGTACAAATCAAATTAGGTTTAGAGTGAGACATTCGTTTTCGGTCCAGAATATGTTACCCAACAACCTTAACGACCTATTCATTTACTTTATTACTTACTGCAAGAGAACGGATCTTCATCTGATCCATCAAGGCAATCTAGTATACCGTCGCAGCCCTGAAATGGTGGATTCATTTACATACCTAATATGTATTCCATAGTAATTTCTGGTCGATCAGAACATGGGCTTTCAACAGAAGGGTTTGCAACTTCCCATATGTCATACAAAAGTATTGCCTTGGGTTTTCAAATTTGGAGGAAAAGTGCTTCCTGTACAAATTCTAAGAAAAATCGTTATTTTCATTTTTCATGTATATGATTTGAGAAACTACTCAAAAATAAAAACATAATTATCTGCATACATGTTGATAATTTAATATAAAATGGAATTCATCATAATTATGAGAATAATGAAAGTGAACATTTTCCCAAAAATCACATTTTTATTTGAATGGGTTCTTGAATAATTACCCACAATGCAGCATTCGAAGATAACGTTTTGATCCCCTTAAAAGATTAAACAATTATGTTTTAATCATATTTAAAATTGATATTTCTTCAAGATAATACTAAAAATTATACATTTATCTAAAACTCTTTGAAATATTATCAAAAAAGGGAAGTTGTCATGTTTATAACACAGAGCTGTATTACACTTCTCTTGAAAGCCCATGATTAGAACAAAGCATGCAGTTTTATATGCAAGGTTAATAAAGTAATGCAGTTATTTAAGGGAGAAATTGACAATAAGTGAAAAATACTCAGTTAAACCAAAAATGTGTTTATCTTGGAAAGTTTTAAAAATTAACATGGCTGAAAATTTCAAGAGGCCATTGCACAAAAACGAAATGATCTGAAATAAACAATTGTCAATAATGTAGCCTACAATTATTTTATATTTTTCATAAATTATTGCACAATGGTGTTTTCATTTCTTTTTGAAGGGTTTTACTGAGTCAACAAAACTGTGAAATGGACAATGATTGTTAATTGCCTTTATGCTGTAGCTATAGCATGGGGTCAATGATTTGACGATTGGTCAGCTTTAGAATATGAACATTTCGTGATGACACAGTTATCTCATTTTGATCGATTAAATAAAATATATCCAGTATCTAGCATGTTAATGTATATTTTGTGCACTTTGGTACCCAATAAGCAACAGAAAACATACAAAAATGAGATTATTTTAAGAGCTTTGCATTTCATTTTCTCTAATTATCTAACTTCCCAGTGTGCAAATCCGTTTATAGATAATAGTCCCTCGATCCTTTGAAATCAAACCAATTCTCTCATATATATTCACACTAGAAAGAGGTTGCATTTTTGCGACACGCTTTACTTATTTGAAAGATGAAACTAAATAATTTGCATAATAATTATGACCAATCATTAAGCTTAAAAGTACAGTTCTTGAATAGGAATAAATATGAGAAGACCAATGAAATACTCACTCCTGGATATTTGGAAACAAATGATATGACTTATATGTAAAATACTCACCAAGAGAGCGTGGATACATTCGCCAGATTCCAAGCAGCGGAGATGCCCTTCGCGACATGTATCAGCTGAAAATCATGATAGGAACGTATATCAGACTATTTATCAAATAAATGAATAACACACAAGATAAAAAATGTTGGTCACTGTAGGCCCCAGTTGAAGTTCGATCAAAAATATTTTTTCTTAGTGTCTTATTTTAATCGTATTTGCCATGTTTACTTTGAAACAAATGGTCAGTTTTCCTTTCTTCCAATTTCAACCCTTAATTGTTTTTAATTGTTGTTTTTTACACCTTCTAAAGGTTTTTAGAAGCAAATATACATATTTTGCAATAACTCTACAACCGGAGAAGCTTCTTTTCATGCTGATTTCAGTTTTTAATATGTTAGCTAATAACCTCTCATTTAACATATATGCATCATTTATCTTAGATTGAAGAAAATAAGAGTAAACCTAATGACAAGAGTTCAACTGCGATAGCATTTTGAGCATTTCGTATGATTTATATCTAACTTATACTATTTGAATATATGTTTCGGTGATAGTGATGTTCTTTGACCTCAAGTTGTACAAAAAGTTACCATGCGATTTACACGTGGTTTGTCTCATCTTAAATAAAATGAATTGATTGAGAATAATATGGAATTTGATATTGATTGGATGGTTTATATGACACTGTTCAAGTACTCACCTAGTTTATAAACTGTCTCTGCGAGACTCTCTGTAGTAGATTTAGACGAACCCAACCTCTGCAGCGTGAACGCATTATTATCTTGTAGTCGTTTAAAGCGTTTCTCTAAGCTACAATGCAGTCATAATTAAAAATCCCCCACGATATACGTTTCGAAAGTTCGGAAATTTCGGAAGTTCTATTGGATAGCATATCAAAGACTATCAGTTCGTTGTGCAAATATTGTTTATACATGTAGATTAGAGCAGTTCAGAATGTTTTGAGGATTTGAATGGCTTTCTAGAATCCAAAAACATATACAAACTTTGAACGATCATTTTGGGGGTTATCAGTTGAAAATATTTTGATGAGCAGTGTAACAAGAAGCAAGACTACCCCAAGGAGCCCCACAATATGTCAAAAAAGTTTAAAGTCATCAATTTCCTATAACTTCCAATAACTTAACAAATACTGTTTAGACTGACTTCAATCTTTTTAAAGCATTCATAATTTTTCAAAAGTTCAAATCTGACTTTATATTTATGATTTTACCTTCAGTGACCTTTTCAATATCCAAAAAGTTGAAAATATATTTTTTCATCTTGCTTCAAATTTTTTATTGGAAGTTCAAATCTGGCTATAGATTTGACCTTTAATGCCATTCTCAAGGTCAAAAAAGATTTGACCTTTAATGACCTTCTCAAGGTTAACAATGTATTTTTCATTTTTCTTCAAATTGACCATTTTTTCAAAATTATTCAAAAGAAGTTTAAATCTGACTTTAGATTTGAGATTTCACCTCCAATGACCTTCTCAGGGTCAAAACGGTATTTTTTCAACAAGTTTCAAATTGACCAATTTATTTTGTCAAAATCATCAACAAGTTCTCAGAAATCCAAAGCTGAGTTAAGATTAAACTCATGATATTATGAGTGACTAGGTGGTGCCATTTTGTCATGTTAATGTCTTTTGTAAATTGTTACTCCTCCCCTCCGACAGATTGAAAATGTATATTATCTCCCTTGCTGACCGAAAGTTCATACATACCTATCTAATAGCTCCTCTTCGGAATCAAGTCTTTCTGAAAAACTACTGTAAGATGATTGCTGCTGACCGACACTTAGTTTGCAATCACAATAATCGCCTTTCACAAATGCAATTGCCAAGTTAAGCAATACGAAACACATGTGTACTTTCATAATGTCTAATGACAATACTGCGGTCATATTAAATGAAATATAATCTTTAGACTCATGGTGGTTAATTAGCATTATTTATAACCAATGTGTAGTATATGATAACCTTTACATGATGTTAAAGCAGAATATGATTTAAATACCCTTATGTAATCTTCAAAACCTTATTCAATATTCGAATAATCTCGCTCCGATTTAAATGAAGTCTCTTGTCAAAGTATGAAAAATATTTTCGACTATGTTAGTCTTTTTATATCTATCAGATATAAAGTTAACATAAATTCTCTATTTGCTTATTCACCCTATCCAGAAAGAGCCTGTGGGAAATATTGGGTGCGGAGCAAATGAGCGGAGGGTGAGGAGCTAACGGTCATTTTTGAATTTAAATTTGGGATATTTCTGAAACGAAGCCGTTTTGGGACTTCAAATATACCAAGATATGTGTATTTGACACCAAATATCAATACAATTGTGAAAATAGTAGCGCAATTCATTCTATAGCGACGCAGTGTGCCTTAAACCTTTCCCAGACCTATATATTTTGAAATTATCCTTTTAATACTGAGTCCCCAGCATTCATAGAAATGAAACTTAAGAATGATGAACCAGTTCACCAAGCAAAAAATAAATTGAATAGTAGCTTTTATTCAGTTAAACATATTGGCATCCAAAAAGGAGGACTCAATCCAATGGTAGCAGTCAAAATATTAATGTCAATTATCTTGCCGACAGCTATGTTTGGTTGCGAGCTTTGGAGCAACTTGTCGTGTGAAAATATATACTCTTTAGATGTTGCATATCGTCAAATAGCAAAAATAATCCAAGGCTATGAACACAATGTGTCTTCGGATGTTGTTCTTTATACTCTTGGGTTGCTACCTATTACATGTTACATCAATAATGCAAAACTGCTATTTTTCGATCGCTTATGCAGAACATCTCATGTAATGACAAGACGAGTGTTTTTATATAGACTGTCTTCATTTTTATTGAAGGGTGTGAATTCACAATCAGGGCTTATCAATGAAATTATGATGTTGAACCTTATCAGTGATTATGTAGACAGATTTGTTAAAACAGGGAAAACCATTCATAAGGTACTATTTAAAAAACATGGTAAAATATCAGATACATTCGCAAGAAGAGCAAATGTGGCTAGCAAGGATAAATGCAAATAGTAATCTTGTAATGTTCAGCAATATTCAAATTCAAATTGAACCAAGTTTTGCTTGGATAATAGGCAAACGAAATCCTACACACTTGTGGCAACTGGCTAACCTTGTTTACCTTTCAACTGTTCCAAACTATAAATTCTTTCAATGCAAAAAATGCAATATCCTATGCAAAGACATAGTTGCACACTTCCTTAGGTGCTCATACATGCTAAGCGAAAGAAATGTTTTTCTTGAGCATATAGTTGACATTTTGCCAGTAAATGATAGCGTTAAGCTGTTATCAGCTTCTGAAGATATTTTTGAACAAACTATACTCGGTGGTAGAGTAGATATTTTCATAGATGATGATATTTACGATCAGTTCATCATTGAGTGTGCTACATCCCTCTATCATTTAGACAGTTACTTTAAAGTAATCAAGTAACTCCGGATCCTTGTATTTACATTAAATTACATTGTGAGAAATCACGTGCCGATATAATCATGATATTGTCAATGAAGTCAAACACTGTTTTTTGTAAATATGTTCATTTGTAGCTATAATTTTTTTTGTATATTAAAATGATGTAATTTCATATGTTTGCTCTCCCTTGTGGAGGAATAAAAGATACAATACAATACAATACAATATATGACACTGATCGAATCAAAAAATTGATTGCGTTACAGGTCTAGGCATTTGCAGGTTGAAAATAGCATCCTCCACAATAGTCTTGGCTAACTCCGCTATATATTCGTGCGTAACTTCTTGAGGATCCCATAAAATACGCAACATGTGCTACAGCTTTGAAATCGTATTCGTCATTTCCCCACTTTGTGACAGTTTTACCACTGGCGGTGAAATATGTCGTAAATAAGTTCATCCCCCCACTTCTTTGACTGAAATAAACGTTTCCAATGATGTATTTGTTACAAAAATAGACTACACATCCCGAAATGTAGCCAATTATTCCGAGACACTATCAGATTGTATGTACAAAATAATTAAAAGATAGGACCAGTGGTTCAATACATTATACTAAATTAGCACCTTAAAAATTTCAGAGGACATCTTTAATACTCACATGCCGTCTGTTTCATTATAGAAGTACTTCATCTGTCCCTCTAGTCTAACAATCTGTGGAAGCCATTTTATGTCAACAACCTTCGTAACCTCTCCGATTAAATGCACAGGACCACCGCCGGGGAAACATGTTTGACCCGCAGGAACAATACATTGACTCCTGATTCCTGGTTGCCATGGCATTACTAAAAAAAGAAAATTAAAAGTACGTAATTTAAGGTATAGCTCATCTGAAATAAATATTTAAAACATATGTAAATATGGTATTAGTACACAATATATCATTAATACGAGTTCTAATTCATAGTTTTTAGGGGTTTTCACAAAGCGAAAGCCCCATTACATATGAGCGAATCCACCAAATGCAGCCTCGCGCATGGGGTAAATTTGTCACTTCTGAGGAATCTTGAGCGAAAATATTACAAAATCTGTCACATAATTTCAAAACATAACGAATGGTAATGTAAGATAACTATTTGTTGCGTGGGACGAATGGCTTATCGCTAAAATGCGTCAGATCTCGCAAAATACGTTGATCTCCCCGTCAACAACGCAAATAACGAACTTGAGCACAATTGTGCGTTTGCTACGGAATCTGAACGAAGCTTTGCGAAAAGCTGGTCAGGTTCTATAAAAAAAACTAGAAACCAAATGGGCCTCTAATGTATTACTAATGCACTGGTAGACGTTCGGTGATGGCTGAAAACCTTCCCTGGCGAGCAATAACAGGCACATACTGTAGCCTCAGGCGCTCTGTAAATTCCTTTTTGACAGGAAGAATATTTTATTTGATTCGGTGTTCTCCTCTCCTGTATAAAGGTAAGTAACTATACAACTCAAAAATGTTTTGATAGAAAATTACCCTATAAATTCAATATATGCAATCAAATATAATAAAATGTCGGCCGTTAATGGTTAAAACGCAGATCTCCAACATTATCATTAAAAACGAGACTTCAACGAGATTTGAAAGCTATTTAGCAATTGCTCCATTAGTTTCAATACGTTAGTATTCGTCACTGTTCGTACAAGTTCGCAAACTGTCGCAAAGATTCATAATGGCTTAATAAGCATTTCAATTAGGTAAACACGACCTGATAACTGTCGGAAGGAAAAGTTAAGGTATGGACCCTTGTAATGCCACTTGACGTACATTGACGAAGCCTATGTGAAGACTTACCGATCATTAACGGATTAAAACGAATTACAACGAATGACACACGAAACTTTTATTCGCCGCAATTTTCTAAACATATTCAACATTTTTCGACGAATAAGACCAATTCCAACGGATGTAAACGCTCACAAACGCATCCAAATCCACTAAACGCAGTCTTTCCGATCGGAACACTTGCACATACGAATACCAACGATGACAAACGTACATATACTTATGAGAACAAGTTCTACTCTATAATTATTCGCCATTAAACACAAGTGTGAACGAATCCTCTGAACGCAGCGCTGCGAATTGGGTAGATTGTCGATTCTGGCGATCGGGAAGTAAACATGCGGACCAAAGCGCAACTTTGTACATGCTTTTGAAACTGTCCGAAGCTTTCCGAAAGTGTACTTTTGCATACAAATGCTCGGACAACGACGTACAACGTTCATATGCCACGAATTGGGAACGAATTCAATTCTACTCAAGTCGTTTTACCAAGCACAGTGATTACACGCAAGCTAACGTCGGGGAAGTTTCGTTCATATGTAAGGGGTCTTTAAAATGACTAACTACAAGTATATGGGTCTTCGTCTGATTCGTCAAGGCAATCCGACACATCATCACAGCCCTGAAAAAGAGGATTCAAATATTCACACAAGTCTAAATATTCAAATTCACTTTCCAGCCAATTAGAACAAAACACAAGTTCTATATGATTTGTTAAACAAGAGAAGAAAAATGTTTCCAAGGGAAAACATTGACATTGACTGAAAAACTGCATGTACCATTGTTAAATTTAATTGTTTACATCACATGGTGTCAAATAAGTCCCGATTGCCTTTACACGTAAGACCTTGATAGGTGGTACCAAATGGGAAGTACGCTGGAAAGATCATCTATAGTTACATGAACTCACCACCTCTCATCTAGAAGCGCTCAAAACAATGTCGATGTTGATTTATATATTGATGGCTAAGCTAAAATGCTATGCTTTAAATGTTCTTTATCGGGATACTTTCATCGTCGCTTTCACTGGCCGGGTCGAGAGATGCGAAGGCCAGTGAATTACTAATCCTGGTTATTTTTGAAAAAATAACATGACCTATGACGTACATACTCACCAGTAGAGCGTGAATGCATTCACCAGATTCCAAGCAACGGAGATACCCTTTGGGACATGTATCGGCTAGAATATTATAAAAAAATAAAACAGTTTATTTGTGAATGACGTGTATCTAGTTTTTTAATTATTTTTACTATCAATGATAGTCATTTCCACGAGGATTTTTAACCTCAAATAGTCGCGCAAAAATATTTAGTATATAAATAGAAAAACAACATTTGATCACTCCTTTATGGTTGGAGCAGTTCAAATCATTTTAGTGTATTCAAATCATTTTAGTGTATTCAAATCATTTTAGTGTATTCAAATCATTTTAGTGTATTCAAATCATTTCTAACAGCAAGAAATCATTTTTGCTAGCAGTGAAAGTCGCATACCAAACAAGACACCTCATTTTATCTCGACTCTAAAAGTACTCACATAGTTTATAAACCGTCTCGGTAAGACCCTCTGCAGTAGATTTAGACGAACCTAACCTCTGCAGCTTTAACGCATTTTCATCTTGTAGCCGTTTATAGCGATTCTCTAAGCTACAATGCAGTCATGTGATTATACATTCCCTTCCATGATTTGACTGTACTTTAATCATATACAACAATATGCATAAAATTATCCGATTCACGCTAGTTATTTTGTTAAATTGTTACCCTAAACTACAATTTCAGTTATCACCAAAAATCTAACTCCCGTTCCCCTAAACTGATAGGAAATGCATTCATACCTATCCAATAACTTCGTTTGAGAATCCAGCCTCTCAAGTAAACCATTGTTAGACGATTGTTGCTGACCTAAACTTAGTTTGCAATTACAATCATCGCCTTTCACAATTACAATACCCCAGTACATCAATGTAAAACACGTATGTACTTTCATGACGTTCTATCAGAAATGTACTGTTGTATAACGAAATTTAATCTTTAGACTCATTTGTATCAATTAACATTGCGAACAAGGCGCAGAACATGGGTCAAATCAGATAATAAAATCGAACGTTTACACCCAAACTACATGAAGGAATTTATAAAGGATCGATTCTAGCTAGAGGCTGACGTTAATTCCGGTTATACGGTTTCGGTACGGAATTGAGTATTTACCGGTGTAACGACCCATCAGCTTGTCTACTCTTTCCAATGGTTTATATCTGGTCTGATGTGCCGTTACAGATACTCTTATTTGCATTGTTTCAACTACATTAACTAATGATTTCACTGTTCACCAGTAAGGAGTTTCACTGTACTATTTCTGTCAACTTTAGTAAAGGTCACTATGACTCATACGCTTGTGCAACGTTTGGCCTGTTCACTCTATACAATTCTGCTTACAGGATATAGGCCCATTGGTCATCTTGCCTTATTGTGATTACTTTGACTTATGTATGTTATTTAGTATGTCTATTCTATTTTATCCAATACTTGGACGTGTTACGGGTACATAAAGCTGGTTTGTAAAAACTTATATTTTCATCAGCGGGCAGATATAGCTTTACGTCCCGCTCGGAGCGGGCAGATATAGTATATCTGCCCGCTACGTCATAATCGCCGCTCGCATATTTGTTCATAATTTGTAACGTTCGCGTAATGACTATAAACTACAATGGAGAAAACACAAACTATCGGGATCTGTTTGATGGTTTAAAAAAAGGAAAGAGCATCCACTTAATCAATCAAGAATTCGAGAAAATAAATGTGGGAATATTTGAGAGAACAGGAAAATCCGCCCACGGCCATGAAAACAAAACTTGACATGAATATTCTAAAATATTTACACGATTGAACAATGTGAACCAGATGACCAAGATTGGTATGGGATAAACATATTATCCTATAGTCGGTTCAGGATATTGGGATTATACCTTGGCCAATATAATATATTTTCCCTCGGGACCTGCGGCCCTCGGGCAAATATATTATATTTGCCTCGGGATAATCCCAATATCCTGAACCTCATATAGGATAATCTCTATGTATGCATGTTTACATATATGTACATAACTTTAGTTTGTCTTATTTTGAACTGTGATTCATCTTGTCATGTGATTTGGCGTAGGGATTTTATGCACTACTTTGTCTTTGGAATTATTTCAATCATGGTGGACCAGTTTGTGTTTTCTCCTCATTTTCTTGGATTTATAGCAGTTTGCGTTGGTGAATCGTGGTGCATTGTGGTTCAAGGTAATTATAATGATATATTTTAATTGTTCTGTGACTTTGAATGGAATTGTTTCAGTAATTGACCAGTAATTGAGATGTGAACTTTTGAAGTGATTTCCATGTGTTTTCATGTAATTTCGTCTCGATTTCTCATCAAATTATCAATGTTATCAACGTAATTAGCAAGGTTTAATTATTTGAAGTATACTGAAACTACTAGTGAACGTAAAATATAACCTTTTTAATGAAAGAAAGGGGCTATCTGCTGTTTTGGATATGAGATCAGCCTTTTCTAGCTTGAGTGAGTCATCATCTAGCTCCTATTAGCTAAGCTCTCCTTCTAGCCTGTTACAGCACTTTACTGTGATTTAAGTGTTTGATTGGTCTTGGTGTATTTCAATTGTGTATGTAACGTATATAAACTTACTTGTACTAATTATATGTGATTATTTTATAATTCTTGAAATAGATTAGATAATTTTAAACTTGTTGTTTTGTTTATCTTTGGGGAGTTTAGTAAGATATGTTTATCCCCCTCCCATTTACATTTGACTTCCATTGACATGACATGATACACGTGACTTCTAGCCAGTTCCAGTTCCCTATGTCAAGTGCAAGTGTAACACCCCCCTCCCCATTCTAGTCACGTGTTACCCATAGCTAGAAGTGGCTGGAACCCGTATACATCCTTGGTACCTGTAGCTAGAAGTGGCTGGAACCCTTATACTTCCTTGGTACCCGTAGCTAGAAGTGGCTGGAACCCATATACATCCTTGGTTCTCATGGCTAGAAGTGGCTGGAACCCTTATACATCCTTGGTATTCGTAGCTAGAAATGGCTGGAACCCTTATACATCCTTGGTACCCATAGCTAGAAGTGGCTAGAACCCTTATACATCTCAGGTTACCATAGCTAGAAGTGGCTAGAACCCTTATACATCTCAGGTTACCATGGCTAGAAGTGGCTGGAACCCTTATACATCCTTGGTACCCATAGCTAGAAGTGGCTAGAACCCTTAAACATCCCAGGTTACCATTGCTAGAAGTGGCTAGAACCCTTATACATCCTTGGTACCCATAGCTAGAAGTGGCTAGAACCCTTATACTTCCTTGGTACCCATAGCTAGAAGTGGCTAGAACCCTTATACTTCCTTGGTACCCATAGCTAGAAGTGGCTAGAACCCTTATACATCCCAGGTTACCATTGCTAGAAGTGGCTAGAACCATTATACATCCTTGATAACGGCTGCTAGAAGTGGCTAGAACCCTTATACATCCCAGGTAACCGTTGCTAGAAGTGGCTAGAACCACCATTGACCCTAGATACCATTGCTAGAAGTGGCTACAACCCCCGGTTTATTAATATAAATAGCATTAGTCCCATTTATAACGTGTAGCCAGACAGTTGACACATTTATTACTAATTGACTATAAGACTTACGACAGACTGAGTAACGACTTATAAACCCATATGCAATTGTCTTATTATTCAATTGTTACTGTTTAAGTAATACTACTTTGGATAATGATAACAGTCTGGGACTGTGTAATGCCAAGGATACGCTACACTTGTATGGCAAATACATGGCCCACGATTGTTACACCGGTATTGAAATTATTAACCGGTTAACCGACGATAATCTCCGGGGAAATAAAAGACACGTCGTTTTTTATTAATTATTTCGTTTAATTTCCACTTTGACGATGCATACATTTACATAGACATTTAGATGTCCATGTTTGGCAGTTCAGGTGTGATTTCCATGTTTGGCAGTTCAGGTGTGATGTCCATGTTTGGCAGTTAGGGTGTAGTAGTTTCATGCTCAGGCTCAGATTTGGTTGTAGTTATGTTTGGCAGTTCCGGTGTAGTTGTAGCGTCAACGTCAGATCCAGAAACTGAATTATCTTTGTAATAGTCATTTACGAACAACAAGGCATTGACAACCTCAGGTTGAAGTCGTGCCTGTTTGGAAGTGATGGTGTTGCCAGCTGCACTGAACTGACGTTCACTTGACACGGATGACGCAGGAATAGCATGATATACTGCACGTCGCTTGCTATTGATACAGTTGAGAAATGGTTTGAAATGTGTCATATATTTAATTTAAAACTAAAAATACATCTTGATTCGTAAGATAGTTACATATTATTTCGTTCAGTTCATCAGTATGGGTTCAAATCGGTCATGCACCATGTATGCATATAGACTTGAGGAGCTACGGAGAGAGTTAGGAACAAAGTGGGGGTGGCAGCGCATTGGCATTTTATTTACATATTTTTACCGGTATTTCGGTAACGGTACGGTTATTAGCGTGACGGTTTCCGGTACTGGTTTTAAGTATCGTTGCGACCTCTAGTTCTAGCGACTGTTTTACTAAAAAAAGATTTCCGGGTTATTTACTAAGTGTCTCAAAGCTGTTGAAATAATTATAGGGAGTCGTTATTGTTATGCTGTTTTCATAAATTAAATTTCCAAAGTTGATAAACACTTTTCTCTTGTACTGATCAACCAAAGATGAGCCTACTTTGCAAAAAGGATACTATCAGTTATCACACGTTTCAGCATGTGATACAGGAAATATTCCACGAGAGGTAAGCTCTTCGACATTTAAAAAGTTACTCGACTTTTTTGCAAAAAAATCATCCAAAAAGTAACAGTCGCATGAATTTACATTGTCGTACTTACAAAATGATCTACCGCCTAATTAAACTTATGCACCATCGAACTCGGTAATATTGTACACATAATTATTAATAACGGTATATTCCCATAGAAAACTGGGCTTGCTTTTCAACATTTCATGCGAAAATTCTCTACGGAGCTTTTGTTTTTCTTATGTAATTTCTTCTAAGAAATCGGTCACGTGACACGGCTCAGTTCATCTTATTTCGAAAGGGGTGTCATCTATTTAGAATATTTATTTTCATCTTGTCCAGTCTTATATACAACCTGCCCTTATCTTTTTTGCTCGTAAAACTGCGTAGTAATGTTGAAATTATAGAATAGATTCTCTGAGAGTGGCGACATGTCTTCATCTTTACCATCTTGCATTTGACACCCCTCGTTTTGGGCGAGTCCAAATAAACCGTACATCCGGGTGATTAGAAAAGGGACATTTTTAAAAAAAATCGAGCGACAACAAATATACTTCTGGTCAAACTGATTTTATGACGAAACTTATGAAAGAATCAATAAAAGGTAAGTGGTATACATTAGGCGGATGCCAAAAATTAAGCGTGGCGCCAATTTGAAACTTCAGAATGCTATCTGTGATTCAAAATCACAAAAAAGTCGAGTAACTTTTCAAATGTCGAAGAGCTTAATACTGTATCATCCACGAAAGCGAAGGTGATACCTTGTTACCCGAGTGGAATATTTCCTGTATCACAAAAGCTGAGACGTGTGATGACGATTTTATCTAGGAATTTTGAAGCATTAATTTTTGATTTGGTCAGTCATGATTGTGTTCAGTACTCTTGGTAACTATTATAACAAAAGCTAAAATAAAGATGTTTTTGCCTACCCTTGATTTCGTTTGATGCCTTATGCATAGTCCATATCACGAAAGAAACAAAAAAAACATTCATATTTTGAATAGTCTTCTTGTAAAGTCTACAACAATATTCCATACATACATAAAAAGCAACTGAATAGACACCAAATCAGAGTCAATCATAGAACAAAAATCTAAGTTACAGCGATCACTGTAAAGATTTTAAACTTATGGCCTCATGGGTCTAAGCATTTGCAGGTTGAAAATAGCATCCGCCACAAAGGTTGTCGTAGCCTACTCCGTTGTATATGTGTGCGTAACTTCTCGAGGATCCCATAAAATACGCAACATCCGCTTTACCTTTGAAATCGTAGTCGTCATTGTTCCACTTTAAATCAAGTTTTCCACTTGCAGTGAAATATGTTGAAACGGTTTTCATTGTGCCACTTTTTTGTCTGGAATAAACCGTTTCAAGCAATATATTACATAAATTAATCACACATCTTTATAACCCAAAGATATTGTTATCAAAGTGTCCGTATAAAAATAAAGAGATAAGACCAATGGATCAACACATCAAATGTGTAATGCCTTGGTCACGTTTGCTCCGATTTTCACTACGGCGCCCGGCCGATTGAGTATTTTGTTCAAAATTGAATACAATATTGAACACTCGGGCGCCGGCCGATGGATCGGAGCATATGTGACCAAGGCATTAGCACCAATAAGATTTCAGAGGACGTCTACAATACTCACATGCCTGTCTCATTATAAAAATACTGCAACACCCCCTCTAGTCTAACAATCTGTGGGAGCCATTTACTCCCAACAACCCTATTAACCTCCCCCAATAAATGTACAGCACCACCCCCGGGGAAACATGTTTGACCAGCGGGAATAATGCATTGGCTCCTGATTCCTGGTTGCCACGGCATTACTGAAAACGAAAATTAGAGTATGCAATTTGAGGTTGGATTCCTCCGTAATAAATGTTTTAAACAAATGAAAATAGGGTAGTGTTACAGTAGTGAGCTACATGTATATTATATTCTACTATATTCACCTATAGTTTAATTTGTAATCTATGCTTGCTGTATATGTTGAGCTATTCTTTATTAGAGATCTTTGGTCAAGGTCACAATGACATTATACACTGTATCTAGTAAACAAAACTGAACTGAATGATTCATTAACCCTTGACCATCCAGAGAGTTCTAGAAAATATAACCATTCATTAAGATTTAATCATGTGACTAGAGATGTCCAATCAAAACTCAACAAGTAGTCTCAGTTCTAGAAGATTCTTTCTAGATGATTCTTTCACACTATAAATAAAACTGCAAAGTGGACTCAGTAGCAGATAATTAAACCATCATAACTGGACATCTCAAAGGAACTAAATACAGCAGAATTTCAAAGTTGATCAAAAGACATCTTCTTAGCAGAATATTACAGACACCTACTGTGGGAACATTTATAACACTATAAACACACAACCTGAGGACCTTTTATGGACATATATTACAACACACACTATATACGGATTATCATATACATTCGTGGATTATCATAAACATTTGTGGATTATCATCAAACATTTGTGGATTATCATCAAACATTATTGGATACGAACATTATAGGATTACGACGAACATTATTGGATTATTACAAACATTGGAGAACTATTAACGATTATTGAAACTTTCGTGATCTGGAACATTCTCAAGGATCGTCAAGGATATTTATCGACATCAAGAATAAGCCGTACCATTGATTGGACATCACTTAAGTATTAAACCTCCTTTATATCATTGTTATATTATTTAGTTTTCAAAATATAAATATATTGTTATCATATTTTAATTGCTGTTTTTACTTTCTGTTATTTTCGAACGTAACAGAAATTGGGGGCTCGTCCGGGATACAACTACAACAAGCTAAAATTCAAATATTTCAAAATTCAAATCCAAAACTTGTATATTTAAATTGTGAAGACAGCAATTAACTGAAGATGAGTTTTGAGGTTGAGACATTCTTAGAAGCGCCCTCTTTGGAGGAATTTGACGATTTAAAGAAAACTGAACTTCTGGCAATTGCAAAACATGTTGGCCTGTCAGTCAAAAGCTCATACAATAAAGGTACAATTAAAAACTTTGTACTTCAATATTTGGTCGCAGAATCACTTTTGCCTGAGGAGCCAGCCCAGCATGTCGAGCATACTGATCCTATTAGGCTTAAAGAACTTGAATTGAGAGAAAAAGAGTTGCAAAATGAAAGAGAATTGAGAGAAAAAGAGTTAGATATTCAAAAAGAAAGAGAAATTAGAGAAATGAGAGAGAAAGAATTACAAATTCAAAGTGAAAAAGAAATAAAATTAAGAGAACAAGAAATTCAAAGAGAAATTGAATTGAAACGTCTTGAGATAGAAGCTCAATCCAAAACTGATGGACATGCTACTATGCATCAACCTTTTGAAAATAGGTTTGACGCTTCAAAATTTCTCAAATTTGTACCTAAATTTCAAGAGAAAAATGTTGATAAATACTTTACACATTTTGAAAAAGTCGCTCAGAGCCTAGACTGGCCTAAATCTGCATGGCCAGTTATGCTCCAGAGTGTATTCATTGGTAAAGCAAGTGAAATATTTGCCTCTCTCTCAGGAGAAGTATGCTCTGATTATGACCTAGTTAAAAATGCAATTCTTAAAGCTTATGAACTAGTGCCAGAAGCCTACAGACAAAAATTTAGAAATGCCCACAAACAGAGTGACCAAACCCATGTTGAGTTTGCTCGAGAGCAAGAGCAGCTTTTTGACAGGTGGCTTGTCTCTAAAGATGTATCTGAAGAGTTCAAGAAGCTCAGAGAGCTTATGCTAATAGAACAATTTAAAAACTGTGTTCAATATCACATTAGAACTTACTTAGATGAACACAAGGTAGAAACTTTAAGTCAAGCTGCCACTCTGTCTGATGATTATGCTCTTACTCACAAGGGTAGTTTTATCAAAGGTAATCCTAACTCAAACTTTAGAGGTTATCAGGGTAACAAACCTTCATATGACTCTAAATCAAATCAGTCCTCATCATCAAATACATCAAACAAAGCAAAAGACCAGTCTAATTCATCACAGAGTTCTAGCTCAAAATCAGATCAATCAAATTCTTCAGGTCCAAAATCAAATGTCACCTGTAACTATTGTAAAAAGCCTGGTCATCTTATTTCTGAATGCTATAGGATTAAGAATAGAAGAGAGATGTCTGGTTCTGCTCATTCAAATGGTTGTGCTACTGTTCCCATTTCAAGAAAGCCCATTGTTTGGGATTCATATACTCATACTGAGAAATCTACTCATAGTGATATTATGGAGGATTATAAGCCTTTCATGTCGGAAGGATCTGTGTCACTGTCAAGTGATGATACCAATTCAAAGCCAGTTAAGATTCTTAGAGACACGGGTGCATCTCAGACCTTGTTGTTAGAAGGTGTCCTTCCTTTATCTGAGGAGTCATTCACAGGTACCCATATTTTGATGCAAGGCATTGAATTAGGTTTTACTAAAGTTCCCCTCCATCGTATTCATATCACATCGGAGTTAGTCAAAGGGCCAGTTATTGTTGGTGTTAGGCCACAACTTCCTGTTGAAGGAGTCGCATTGCTTTTAGGCAATGATTTAGCTGGGGGTAAGGTATCATTAGACCCCATTGTTTCTGATCAGCCTTGTTCTATTGAGGATTCTGTCCAAGAGGACTCTGATATATATCCTGCTTGTGCTGTTACTAGGGCTATGGCTAAAAAGTTAGCTGATAGCGGGGATTTGTCTGTGGGAGATGACTTTGATAGTGGGTTTTTAAGCTCCTTGTTTGATGATGAATGTCACTCACCACTTGTTAAAGATGATCCTTATCCTATTTTAAAGGCAAATTCTTCATTGAAACAGCCTTCTGTTCAAGCCAAGCAGTCATCTATTGAGGCAAATTCTTCATTGAAAAAGCCTATTGCCAGAGGTGATTCACCTTCTGAGCAGGATCACTATTTTAATGCGGTTTCGCCCGCTCTTGCTAGTCCTGATGAAGTTCCATCTTCTTCTGCTAGTGTTCATGAGGTTTCATCCCCTCCTTGTTCTGAGGTTACATCCTCTTCTAGTTCTGAGGTTTCATCCTCTATTTCTGATAGTGATTCTTTGAAAAAAGATCCTCATTCTAAATACATATTAATTTATGAACAAGAGCATGATCCATCACTCATTGATCTTCATAAAATATGTCTTACTATTGATGAAGCTGACAAGGTCCCTGTTTGTTACTACAGAAAGGATGGCATATTAATGCGAAAGTGGAGACCTCCTGAAGCTTCCCCTGAAGATGATTGGGCAATTGTGCATCAAATTGTTGTCCCCAAATCATATCATAAGGAAATCTTGAGTCTAGCTCATGATTCTCCCATGGCAGGTCATTTAGGAGAAACTAAAACATACCATAAAATACTCAATCATTTCTACTGGCCCAAATTAAAACAAGATGTCCAAGAGTATTGTAGGTCATGTCATACATGTCAAATGGTAGGGAAACCTAACCAGAAAATCTCAATTGCTCCTTTACAACTTATACCTGCATTTGATGAACCATTCAGTAAGGTTCTTATTGACTGTGTTGGTCCACTACCAAAAACAAAATCTGATAATCAATATCTGCTCACTATTCTGTCTATGGCCACACAGTTTCTAGAAATAAAATCACTCCTTATGCTTGGGAATAACAAAACCAAGTATATTGTGAAATCACAAATCAATAATTTCACATTAGTGGAGCTACCAAAGGAGCTCATATCTGACTTACAATCTGACTCAGTGCTGAATGATTTCATTTGCATTGATAGAACTACTCCTGTGAGGTGTAGAGAGCTACACATGATGAAAAGGTATGTTGAGCGTGATAAATTTCTTTACTCAACATGAGCTTGTGCTCTTAGCTCATAGGCCAAACTTGTATGTCAATGACAACTATACATGTATGTTATTCAAGAGTCAGATATTGTAAATTATAATGATTAACTCATGAAGATTATATTATATGGTAGGCAAATTAGAGATTTGTGATAACTGTCACTTTATTTTTAACAATATATAAAAACATTTGCCTAAATAGTGAAATTGATATTATATGAACTACAAGAATGTTTCTAGATTATGTGAGCATTATAGGTAATCTTTAAATAGTGTCACAAGATTACTTGATAACATCAGAGTGTACTATTAGAAATACTTACATAAGATCATGTGATAATTTAAAACATTGTACTAGTTTAGTGTTTGTCAGACTCAAAAATGTATGCTATTGTACATGTTATATGATCTATTGCGTGTATTGTATTTATGACTTAATGCATAACTTATGTAGATACTATTGTAGTATATGATTACAAGAACATTATATGTTATTAGATTGTACTCACACTGTAACGATAGAAAGTATTATTTGTTAACATACTGCATATAAAAGGACTACTGTAAAGTTAATATCATGTAAGTCTCAACCTCACTTTAAGAGATTGTAATGCTCGCTACTCAAGATATTATTGTAAAAGTTTTTCATTGTATTCAAAACTTTTCTTTTAAGGAGGGAGGTGTTACAGTAGTGAGCTACATGTATATTATATTCTACTATATTCACCTATAGTTTAATTTGTAATCTATGCTTGCTGTATATGTTGAGCTATTCTTTATTAGAGATCTTTGGTCAAGGTCACAATGACATTATACACTGTATCTAGTAAACAAAACTGAACTGAATGATTCATTAACCCTTGACCATCCAGAGAGTTCTAGAAAATATAACCATTCATTAAGATTTAATCATGTGACTAGAGATGTCCAATCAAAACTCAACAAGTAGTCTCAGTTCTAGAAGATTCTTTCTAGATGATTCTTTCACACTATAAATAAAACTGCAAAGTGGACTCAGTAGCAGATAATTAAACCATCATAACTGGACATCTCAAAGGAACTAAATACAGCAGAATTTCAAAGTTGATCAAAAGACATCTTCTTAGCAGAATATTACAGACACCTACTGTGGGAACATTTATAACACTATAAACACACAACCTGAGGACCTTTTATGGACATATATTACAACACACACTATATACGGATTATCATATACATTCGTGGATTATCATAAACATTTGTGGATTATCATCAAACATTTGTGGATTATCATCAAACATTATTGGATACGAACATTATAGGATTACGACGAACATTATTGGATTATTACAAACATTGGAGAACTATTAACGATTATTGAAACTTTCGTGATCTGGAACATTCTCAAGGATCGTCAAGGATATTTATCGACATCAAGAATAAGCCGTACCATTGATTGGACATCACTTAAGTATTAAACCTCCTTTATATCATTGTTATATTATTTAGTTTTCAAAATATAAATATATTGTTATCATATTTTAATTGCTGTTTTTACTTTCTGTTATTTTCGAACGTAACAGTAGTTATATCAGGTTGTTCAAAAAAAACGCTATATCTTGAAAAATACAAATGCAATTATGTTCATTTTTTCAGGAAAGAAAGAAGAGACTGTGTATGTATAGCTCCTGTAGTTGGTAAGTTATAAAACACGATGCCTTAGACACATGCTCAAAAGACATTAGTATTAGAAAGATACGAAAACGCAGTCAGGGGTGACTGCCACAGCAATAAAACCGAATTACTTTCTAATCATAGTGTTTCAGCTCTTTAAATTTAGCACAAATCATATTCATTCAAAGCATGGTAAATCTATCGAGTGAAATCAAAATCACTCCAGGGACTTTACAGTTATGGTCGAAATGCGTTCAAAACGCAGTCAAACGCCCTGGTTCAGGCAGACTTAAGAAGATATTTTGACCATTACTGTAAAGTCCCTTAAGTGATTTTAATGAAACTCCACAAATTCACCACACATTGAATGAGGATGATTTGTGCCAAATCTGTAGTGCCAAAACACTATGGTTAGAAAGTTATTCAGTTTATTGCTGTGGCAGTCACCTTTGACTGCGTTTTTCGTATCTTTCTAATACTATTGTCTTTTGAGCAGGTGTCCAAGACTTCATGATTTACAACTAAATAACTACACAGTCTCTTCTTTCTTTCTTGACAAAATGAGTGCAGTATTTTCCAATATATAGCGATTTATTTTGGTTGCGTTTTTTGAACACCCTATATATTGCGAATTAAATAGATCATAAACACATACATACTTGTATGTGTAAGGGTTGTTAACAAATTTTTTTTATTTTTTTATTTATCTGAACATTGAGGGAGGGCACGGATAAACCGCGACAAAACATGATTATATAACGAAAATGGCTAAAATGATTCAAGCAGGCGATTAAATTCATTGAAGAGTTATGGTGAGATATCTGAACATATTCGGTTATTGGAGAGTTTAAGCTAGAAATGTTTTTCATTAGGCTGGTTATTTTGATTTCGACAAAAAGTAGAATTCTTTCTGGAGAAGATAATGCATGCCATGTATGTTTTAGCTCCGAGTATCTTACCAAACGAGCTTGATTATGTATCAGAAAACCAGCTGTAGAACTACCAATGGCGTATAACAAGCTGCATGTTACATACTGCGGTGTGGTCTTAACAAACTCTGAAGCCCGGATGGCTATTTAAGGGAGGAAGCTACGTGTATTTGTATATTCGCGATTTATACGTATACGTTGCCGTTTCAATTTTATATACTGGCTTAAACTCTCCACTGTCAAAAAAGGATGTATACTCTCTGACTTACTGCAAGTGAACGGATCTTCATCTGATCCATCTAGGCAATCTATTACACCATCACAGCCCTTAAAAAGAATTTATATATTCACTCGGTATCTGAGTATTCTATATCACTTTTCAGCCAATCAGAACAATTCATATATGTATTATATTATGGGCAATTACCCAAATGCGAGTAGGCTGATTCGGGTCAATTAACATGGCAGGTATATGAGAAAGTTCCCTTAAACTTGAATATTATCAATTTAAGCCGCTCAATTTTCATATAACCCTTATGCGTCTGATACTTATACTAAAGAAAATATGTCCAGTAAAGCAAAATATTATCTGTCCACTAAAAGAAAAGATATTTCATTTTTTGTGATTTTATAGCATGGGGTCTATGGGGAATCTCCCCGAGCTAGAAGTCACATTTTCAAAGAAAATTAATTTTTAAAAGTTGATAAACACTTTTTAAAACCTCTAGATGTAATTTTACATGTAGATTTCAAATATGATATTAGTTTGACTGAATTTTGAATTTTTAATGACGTAAATCAAGATTATTTCTACTCGCATCTGGGTTATTGTATTACGTGCATGGTCAATATAGAAAATGGTTTTGAAGGAAAACATCGACACCAAGTGAAAAACGTCATGTAAATTAGAATCATAATCATAAAGTAGTTTAATGTTTAAATTGATCAAGTATTAATATCCCAGGAGAAATTTTGTTAAATTCAATTTTTTACATCACATGGCGTGAAATAAGTCCCGACTGCCTTAACACATAAGACCTTGATGGGTGGTACCAAACGGAATGCACGCTGGAAAGATCACCCATAGTTACATGAACTCACCACGTCCCATCTAGAAGCGCCCAAAACAATGTCGATGTTGATTTATATTTTGGTGTGAATGCCAGTGAATTACTCACCCCTGGATATTTTGAAAGAATAACATGATGACCCTTGGCTTACATACTCACCCATAGAGCGTGAATGCATTCACCAGATTCCAAGCAGCGGATATACCCTTCGGGACATGTATCGGCTGAAAAGAAAATGATATAAAAATGAAAAATATTTATTGACTGGACAACGCAAATGGCATCGTAATTAACCATATCATTTCTTTTCAGGCGTGAGTCAATGCGACGAAAATTTGAATGCAGAGCCCGATGCAGAGAAATGTTCGCACGACATGTGCCAAATAGAACGGAACACAAGTGTTATAGAATCCAGCAAGAAATAAATATTCCATGTATTATATTTCATGGTAGGTCCCAAATAAGAATCTGTCTAGAATCTCATTAATGTTCCTATTTTATTCTTATTTGTCATTCTTACTGTGAACGGGCCTATTTCGGCCTATCCGCGCATGCGCAAAGTGAAATTTAAAAGCATGGACGTGGCTGTTTATTTTGGTTGAACATTATCATTTCTACCTACGGTTATATTATTGGCTCGTGCTGATGCAATAGCCATATCTCACTTCTAAATAGTAGTAAGTGATAACGACAATGGACTGAGGTTTAAACGTTAGTTTACTAGTAGAAAACCTGATGGGTTAATATTTATTGATGAAAATGAGTTAATTCCTCGAGCAAAAGTTTAACCCAAGGTGTTCGTTTATAATAAAATTGCGATTTCCTAAATACGACAGAAATACGAGCGACTTCTTGAGTTAGAATTGTGAACAATTTACAGCATTAAAAAAACTCCGAACATTTAACTATTTTATTAATATCTTCGACGGAGAACGAGAATCAAATTGACCCATCTTCACTTTTTGATATGTTTGGATGTTTTCTAAGAGGCCCGGGTACTCAGACCTTCACAATTTAAAGATCTTAATCAGTTCAAAATGTTCGGATTTTTTCTACTTTTGCCGTTCGGTAAATTACAACCGCGTTAAAAGTAAGCATCCCTATTTACCAAAACAATGCATTACAACACTGCAAACATATCCTTCACACGAGCCTTCATTTTTTTTTAATGATCTCTTGTTTACGTTACGCTATCCAAACTTATAGAGAATAATCATAACATATAACAACAGCGAAAATTCTGACTATCGAATGTGATAGTACCAACGCCTTTCTTTTGGAATTCTGAACTTAACTCCCTCCCCCACCCGAATGAGAGTCGTATTCTATTGACTTCTAGACAACGACGTGTTAAGTGAAAACATTACTACAATACTCAAATATATATCTGCTCATTAATTTCAACTAAAAAAATCATAATAGACAAGGCCATTGCAAATTATGTTAAGTACAGTAAGTCCAAAATGTGATAACACATACTTTTAATAATATCTCGAAACACTTGGAATCATTGCTTCATAAATGGGGTCATGGATAAGTGTAACCAGCTTTTAATTGTTTAAAGTCCATACCACTATAGGCCATACTCTCTCAAAACGAATCCATTATCTCACCTTGGATAAAATTAAATTGGATAATCGCTTTTGTTTTATAATGTAATCTAATATTGAATTAAAAACAGATCGATCAGTCTAGTTGTGGGATCTATATGTAACTTTAAATTAATCACTCGTGAGATATAATATGAATAGAGGGCGAATTCCAGACGGTCTCGATATCTGATGTGCCGGTTGAAATCAGGCAATTTGTGTAAAAACTAAAGTGTAATTTTATGTGTTTTAAGTGTTTACGCGGAATATTGCGTACATTCATGTTCGCGCAGTATTTGTGCTAAAGGTGAATATGCCATACTCAACTGCGGTATATAGCATATTACGCAGGTGAGTACGTCATATTCCGCAGTTAATATGCGATACAATGATTTCAGTTGTCACTGCTCAGTATTATTGCAGAATTCATCTCTTAAAATAGTTATCTGCATAACTGATATCTTAATAAAACTAGTAAATAACAGCATTCAGCAATGAATCTAGGCCGAAGATAAAGTAAAACGTATGTTATCGTATTTAGTAAGATATATCAAGTACCGCGATTCGGTGATTGATAATACTGCTGGGCCGTCAACTCGATTCGAGGTCGTCATATTTGAAAATACCGACGGCTGTGATTGGTAAATGTAAAAATGATCTGATTTGATTGGCGAATGAACTGAGGGTCCATATATAGTATTTGATTGGACAATCAAGATGACGTGTATATATGAACAACTGAGTTGACGTGCACGAAACTGAGTTGACGGGTTACAAAAAATGAAAAAACGACGCTCTTACTGAGATGGCGGGTACTAGAGAATAAAATGATGGGGACCAAATACTGAGATGAAAATACTTTTTTTCGATGAAAAAATGAAATTACGACGCTCTTACTGAGATGGCGGGTACAAGAGAATAAGATGACGGGGACCAAATACTGAGATAAAAATACTTTTTTTCAAACGTTTGCCTCTTTTTCACTCTCTCCCACCATAGAACCTGTCATATTTGGATAGATATCCGGTGGTCCTTCGAGCCCAAAAACCCCTTGCCCAATCCCTAGAATTAAGTTACACTGGATGGTATAATGAAACCACCCTACAGGTACGTATACTCACATAGTTTGTAAACGGTCTCATTTAGAAATAGAAAACAACATTTGATCACTCCTTTATGGTTGGAGCAGTTCAAATCATTTTCGTGTATTCAAATCATTTTTAACATTGCTAGCAGTGAAAGTCGCATACCAAACAAGATACAATGTACCTCATTTTATTTCGACTCTAAAAGTACTCACATAGTTTATGCACTGTGTCTGCCAGCCCCTCTGCAGTAGATTTAGATGAACTCAACCTCTGCAGCTTTAACGCATTCTCATCTTGTAGTCTTTTATAGCGCTTCTCTAAGCTGAAATATATAAAAGTAATTAACACATACGAGCAACAAATCAAAAGAAGCGGATCGTTTGGGTATTGGGGTTGTAAAAATGTAACCCTAGACCATTCGATTGACTCCTTATCAAAATTGGTTAACCTAAGAAACCGGCGGGCAAGAAGAATTGGCTCCCAAGAAATGAAAACGTCATCGTACTTATCTCGATCATTTCTTGTCTGTTTTGATTTTTTTTGTTTGAAAATGAAACCAAAATTCATGATTAAAATGTTGAAGTGAACAAAATGGTGGCTGTTTGAATTCGAATGTTGTAATCACGACATGCCCATATATGGCAAAAATTTCGATGTTGCACTCTGGGAGCCAATCCTCCTTGCCGGTAGGTATATGGGCGGGTATGAGCTAATCAACGTGTTTTTGATCTTATCAACGTAAAGGTAAATGAAGACACGTTGCCCAAACAACAGAAGCAAGGGATAACATTTTTAAAAACTTGACCTTCATCTCAAGATCAGGTAAGACCGCTGCATCTTGGACTTCCAAGGTATGAGTTTGAGATCTCTGCAGCAAATGAAACATGAATCACGGTGTCTATCCAGGCCTCGCTGACATCGTGAGCAACGAGAGCTCATATTAGAAGCGGGGCCTCGAGAGATATGATAAAATTGAAATATAAACGTTTCTATGGAACTTTAGCAAGTGAAACTCTGTACAACTTTAGTTCATAGTACAATGGCTGTTTTAATTGCAGGGCAACGACGTTCTTCAAATATAGCTATATTTTATCTTATCTCTCAAGGCCCCGCTTCTAACATGAGCTCATTGCTAACGATGTAAGCGGGAACTTGATCGCGATATACGGGGCTTGGAATCACCTGAATGTGAAAAAGAAAAAAGACCACTGCATACATTTATTTCCATTAAAATGACCTAGCGCAAAACGGGAGGGAATCGATGCAGCGCAATCGACTATGTTTTATCATCAAGATGGCCGAAGATGCTTCAAGGAATCAAATAAATGACTTGATGCATCTTCGGTTGTCGTAAAAGTATGTTCGGCAATCTTCGAATGTGGACCAAAATTATGACCCATAAACCTGGTCAACTCAGTGATGCAAATGACCCCCTCCCCTTTCCCCGTTGGCCACGTCACTTTGACCGGTACCAAACTGGAAAATCTGACTTACCTGTCCAAAAGTTTCTCCTCTGACTCCAGTCTCTGACTTAGACTACCGTAAAATGATTGTTGCCGACCTACATTGAGTTTGCAGTCACAATCATCTCCTTTCACATTTATGATAGCCCAGTACAGTAATATAAAACATGTAAACACCTTCATTGTGCTAAGTATTTTAAATTTGATTTTTATCTCCAAAGTCCAAGCAGAATATCGCTAATTATGTGGACGGAATCTGAACTGTCACGTGCATGTGTTATGGGGCAATAAAGGTCACGTATTATACTGGTCAAATCGTCTTTAAATTAAAAGTTCATTTATCGTCCTGTTACAACCTAACAAGAAGGGACTTTTTATATTTACACTGTGTCAATGATAGCACTGAACGAAACACAATGACATTCTACATTAGCGAACTTTAATTTCATTATATAATTCAATTGTAATAATGATGACGTATGTTATAACATTTCAACATAGCCCGCGTGGCCATACTAATCTACGTTACGATGTACAGGGTGGTCAAAAAACGGCAACCCTGTATTTTCCTCATACTATCTGTATAGTATCTGTGCCATTTAAAGAACTTTTTTTTAATTTCCTACCACCTTACCATATCTCATGACTACCAGACTGATAGTCCTAATCTGGTCCCAATGTTACAGCACTTTGAACAACATGCCTCAGGCTTGACCATCATCACGCTGTAGGCAAACCTGCACAAGTTGTAAATGGTCCGACTGCGTTCCTCAGCAGATGTGGCCTGAAAAACACTTGAACACTCTATTTCTGGCATATCCCCACAGGTAAAAGTCAGGTACGGACAAGTTGGGCGACATGTGCAGGTTTGCCTACAACGCAATATTGGCCACCGGGGCATGTTGTTTAAAGTGCTGTTACATTGTCACTGTCAGTTTGATGGTAATGAAATATGAGCACTCTACTATAACTAACACCTAGAAATGCATAAGATACTTTGTTTGTCTAATTGTTTTGTTTAGTATATTTTTGAAAGTGCCTTAGTAACATCTAACATTCAACCGATAAACCATTAATAAGGAACAGACAAATAAAAACAAATACATATTCATTACTAATGAGCCAAATGGGTTGCTCATGAACACCAAATGCAAGGTATAGTAGAGTGATGAGAGAACAGTAGGAAAATAAAAGCTTTACACATGTGTCCTTTTCAGGGAGTAATTTCCTGAAATGACAAATATATATGGTGAAAATAGTGACAGGGTTGCAGCTACCAACATAGCCCTGCCCAAGTCGGTCTCTTTTACATATCTTGATTTCTATTATGACCTGATCATAATTCAAGATCAGATGAGTAAAAAAATACCGACTTGGACAAGACTATACCAACAGACCCTCATATATTAACATGAAAACAAATCCAAATATACCAGATCATGAACATACTGTAGAGCTATTGACATAGCAAGTGTCTTGCCAAAACGTTGGCATAGCAAATACCGATCCACCAATTCTATATGGAATTCTTTCTGCATCTTTATTTGATTTTCACACTTTTGTATTTTAAAAATAAATTGCCAATTAGCATTTCAATGTTTTGTTTCTTGGATTTGGAAAGCACATTAAAAAGTGCAAATGCTTCCAATAGTATTGCTCTCGAATATCAAGCTGCATGAACGCTAAATGATTTCATGCCTTTGTTCTATTGACTTTATGGATTCTATAAAACGTGACTTATCGTATTAACTCATTTTACCACAAGCCAATGTTTTTTCTTAGAATTATAGAAAACTTCAGAATTTGCAAAATAGATGAATTATGCCTTGGGTAAAAATAAAAAAATGATTGCGAATTATTACAGACGGAAAGGGAAAATACCCACAAGCAGTTTGCAGTGCTTGTGTTGTGAACCAACTTCATCTTCGGATTTATGATGATGTAATGTTGATTTTCCTCATATATTTTAAACATAAATTTACAATGCTTTTTAATGGTGGCTTAACTTAAGTAAGCTCTGCCTGCCTAGCATAAATAATGGAATTTAAAACGGAGTGAATTCTTTCACTTAGGCTTCGTATAGTTACAATGCACTGAGTGGATTTTACTTAACCTTTGTCAGTTAACATCGTTTTAATATATAGGAGTTGGTCGCCTGGTCGAACTTTAGATACATTTATCTTAACTTTTAAACACACATAGCAAAAGTTATGGGAAGGAAAAAATGTTTTATATTCGTCGTTGTAACAAATGCTATTCTTATCTGTTTGCAAGCTGTATTTTGGATATCAAAGGATGTCATTCAAAATGTAACGCCTATACGAAATTACGAATTAAGAAGACATAAAATGGCGAACATTTCAATTTCTCGATGCAACAACTCCTCGGGGAATTTGATTGGTTATGAACAAGATAACCGCGATAAAACGCTTATAGTTTACAGTGAAATGCCTAAATGTGGCAGCAGAACTTTCATTATAATCTTAAGTCATGTTTGCAAATATTCCAAACATTACAGTACTGAATACACTTGGCCAACTCCCAGTCATAATGTGTTGAAAAGTGTTGAAAGTAAAAGGAAGTTTGTATCGACTAAAATACTCCCACGAAGACCCTATATTTTTATGGGACATCTATCCTTTTTGGATTTTGTGGAATTGGGATATAAACAACCTCTCTACATCGATATAGTACGAGATCCAGTGGAACGATGGATTTCTCTGTTTTACTCTAAACGGGCTTCACGTTTTCATATAGACCGTCTAAAGCTTACGCATAAAGAAATAAATCAAACTATCGAGGGATGCCTCCAAATATGGATTTCTCTGACTGGTTGTTCGGGCAGGAGTGTTAAAGCTACCGCAGATTGTTTAAAATCGAAGCCATATAAGGGGTGTAGGGAGGAACAGGTTATTTCGATGTACCCTATATGGTTTTCCGGACGATACATTAACTCTTCACAAGTGTCGGTGAAAAAGGCTAAAACGAACATCGAGAAGTATTATACTCTAATAGGTTTGACTGAATATTTCGATGAAACCCTCAAAGCAATGGAAACAATTTTGCCTGGTTTCACAAATGAACTCTCTAACACGTACAAAATGGTTGATAACGCACAAGTTGGGCGTAACAAAGTAAAACCAAGCAATGAAAGTTTCGCCCTTCTGAGAGAATTGTTATCAGACGATTACAAGCTATATGGATTCATACGTCAACGATTTCACATGCATTTAAACTGTTTAGCTTTAAATATGACCAAACATTGAAAAGTGAAAACTTTAAGACAATATATGTTTTCCGTCCGGCACTCATCCGGGCATCGGCGCATTCATGAATGAACGTTTCAATATCTACGACAAACTCACGATTGTGGTCGAGACAAGCTAAGAATATCCCAACCAATATATTTTGTTCATTCCATTTCTATTTTATAATTCAGTTCTTCGTGAATATATTTCATAGTTGTTTGAAGGCGATTAAATTACTTTATTGGTGATTGTAATTCAGATTTATTAAACAATAAGTATGCCAAATTGTATAAAATCCCAATGTACGATGCCACCGGGAGCCATAAGATAATCGTACAATGACCGAACGGGACACGGCCAGTTAGGTACCGATGAGTTTGATTGAGAAAGAAATCTGCAATACTCGGCAACTTTTGTCTCCGCGATAAAACACTCCCGATGACAGTACAATGCTTAATTATTGGCCAATGTTAGCATATTGCTTCATCAAGCTTTGGACCTATCCTCAGGACGTAGTGATTGAGCGTGGGAACCGACGATGCAATGTTGGCCGATTATCGCCAGGCGCCCGTACGATGCCCGGGCTTGCCGACTGATTTTAAACAAAATACCCATCGGCCGGGCGCCGTAGTGAAAATCGGATCAACAAAGACAAAGACTTAAAATGAGCATTCCGTCATGTATATTTTCAGTAAACTGAATGTCAGTATTTCAACCTAGAAGTGTTTCAAGGAGAAATTCTTCATTTCAATTCAATAATTGACAGGATGAGTTTACAGTTATTAAGTTCGTAATATCATTTAATAAAGGGCAACATGATTCTTAACTCATCGAGGAAAATTAACAGGTCGGGATCAAAAGAGATGTTCCCTCTGGTACAACTGTTTTTAAACACTAAGAAAACGTATTCATTTCTAATATCATGCGTATAGTTATAACATAGAAAATATAACCTATTCTCTGCAATCATTTGCGGGGAAACCTTCACTTCTGTTTGAAGTCTAATATTACTAGGAATAAAAGCAGTTAAAAACGGCGCTTTGTAAAAAAAACAAAGGATGAGTCTGGGAATGAGTCGGTATCGACTTAGGAAATATTGAAAATTGTAATGTCTGAAAAACCTCAATCACACATATTATTAAACTTCAATATCTTATCCTTCTTCTGAGATTACAAAAATATCAATTTGTATCACAATTGATGAAGAATATTGGCATCAAAGACAGTGCATATCACTTTGTAAGAATTGAAAAAACATCAATGGCAAATATTAAATGAATTATTTATACAAATGTTTGAAACATATCCTCCAAAACATTGCTTACTTTCTTTGTATAGACATTGAATGGTATTTCTGGATAAGTGAATTGCTGTTTATCTGAGTAATCAAGGGATTATAGTCACTCAAAGTTACTGAGCATCCAGTTTTGAGACTTCAATTGTGTTGGTGAAGTTACATATATTTCAGTCAAATTCATGCTGAGCACAACATTTTGGTTTCAATTTTATAATCTCTATACATTACCCTGATGATGAAGAGTCAGAATCAGTCAAAAAACCTAAACCGGAAAACTGTGCTCATTGTGAAAACTATGAGAGTGGAGCAACTTTTTTTCTGATATATCTTACATCAAATGGCAGCCATCTTGTTTTCCCCCTTCAAAAATTGGCGGGAAATTCAAAAATTTGAAAAAATGTTAATCTTCAAATTCTTTATTTCAAAAATATGATTTTCTTTTGAATTCTCCATGGGTCTTAAGTTATTTCTTCTTTGTATGTCATACATGTTGCCATTGGTGTTTTTTCTATGATAATGACTATTCTTTTTTGTTAAGATCCTTATTCTGACTCTCAGCAGGGGGTTAATTATGCATCAAATCTCGTGAAAAAGTAAATATACTTATCAAATATAACAAGGACAGTAATAAAAACCATATTTCACATACATTTGACTGAGGGACCAAAAGGGCATATATCCGGACACATCCTTTTCAAGGTGGCCTAATTTTTACTATTTTCGCTGAAGAGGCTGGACCGTGAAATTAAAGGCAGTGTGAGTATTTGATTTAACATTGAATTCAGGCATTTGGACATTTCAAACAGAGATGTTTAATGCCCGTGAAACATTTCAGATTGACAAAGTAGTGATTTTTCTCAGCGAAAAGGTCCAAGTGCAGTATGGCAAGTGATTTTAGACAGGCAAGTACTTTCTGGGTATAAATACAGTGTTTTTATTAAAACAGTATGTTTTCTTCAGAAGTCCCCATGGTAGTAAAATATCTGTCCAACTCTCTGAAAAGGACCCGACCTTTTCACTTTTTTAAAAAATGTAAGGCTTATTTTCTAAAAAGAGGATTTTGTTTTTGTCAATTTAAATATATCAAAAGTATCTTCTACAGTATATTAATAACTTCTGAAAAGGGAATGGGTATTGGAATGCGATAATGTTAAAAAAACATTTCCTCTGTTATTTTCCCATGGGGAAAACTCGTACCATCCATTGTTTTCAGCAGAATTTTGGTCATCAAAAATTGATATATTCAGAACTAGAATTTCAATACCATTCTACTTTTGATGATGTTTTAGACCCCTTGTTGAATAATATTTTCATGCAATAGAAAAGAAGATCCTTCAATTGAAAGAAAACATATTGTTTTAATAAAAACTACTGTATTTTTGCCCAGAAAGTACTCATTGTGAAAGATACGACCGTCTAAAATCACTTGCCATACTGCACATGGACTTTTGGGCTCCTACACTATCATTCTCTAAAATGTACCATTTGTTTTTTAACTGTTTACTGTACGATAGTGACATACTATTTACATATATTTTCACCATAACTCTGAAGATATTAATATAATGAGATCTAGATATATTGGGTCTAAATTCTATAAAAGAGATCCTGAGCTGGAGGGGTGCCAATTTTTATATTCTTTGCCTTAAAATGAATTAATGTAGAGTACTTTAAAAGCATACATAACAACTTTCCAGCACTTTCAAATGATTAACACATCTTTATATCCAAAGAACATGTGTACGTTTTATAGATTTTATTACATAAAATATAACATATTACAATTTAACCTTTTTGGCATGGGGAGACGGCTATCTATCGATCAGAGCTTGCGTAATTGTATACCAAAGAAACGATTACGTAATCATGAGATAATGTTACGTAATGACAGCGCAAAATCATGATTATGCAACCTTATATAATCATTAATCTTTGGGATAAGAGCCCTATGCAACCTTATATAATCATTAATCTTTGAGATAAGAGAGAGAGACCATAGAGGACCGAGTGCTGAGATAGATAGCCGCCTCCGAAATCCGGGCCACCCGATACCCCCTATTAAGGGGGCGAAGGGGTGGGGGCGGGTAAGCGTCCGACTTCCTCAAGATGCAAAGCAAAAACTGTGTAAACCAAACTACTACAGAACAGTTGGTATAGCATTAAGATAAGTTATTGTCCCGGCCTAATTGGATCTGTCAACAGACTTTTAATTGGGCTGGTAGGACAGACACCGTTCTCTGTGATATAAACCAGATTTAACAAATACTTGTTAAATCACAATTTATATCCAAAGAACATGTGTACGTTTTATAGATTTTATTACATAAAATATAACATATTACAATTTAACCTTTTTGGCATGGGGAGACGGCTATCTATCGATCAGAGCTTGCGTAATTGTATACCAAAGAAACGATTACGTAATCATGAGATAATGTTACGTAATGACAGCGCAAAATCATGATTATGCAACCTTATATAATCATTAATCTTTGGGATAAGAGCCCAAAAACAAGTATACTCGTGAACGGAGTTTAAATAAAAAGCTCTGTGAACGATAGGATACGCCGTTCCCCAAAGATTGATTGAATGAGGCCTGGTAGGGACGAAGTCAGTGTTAATATGACGTAGGTGTATGCATGCTGATACAAGAGCGTCGTAGGATAGGCATGTTACACTTACGCGAATGATACGCGAAAGTACGCAACATGCAACGGATGGAACACAAAAGTCAGCACGACTTATCCAAGATTGTAATTGTTGGGGCGCGGATAATCTGGTCCATCCTATAGGCACCTTTCTACGCTGTAGCTCGGTGGAGAGAAAGTTCGAATGGGACACCTCGTGGGCAGACGGTTTACCTCGTAGAGAACGTAGCCGAGATGGGCCATTCAGGAATACCCCTCGCGTACCCGGTTTATTCTCGTAGAGAACGGAGCCGAGGTGTATTGAAATAAGTGGTCGAAGACACTAGCGTGCATGACTTACCCCGTTGAGGGTGCATAGCCCCGGGTGCATAACTTAGTGGCAGCATAGTCCGTCAGTTCGTCAAGAAGGGGACATGCTGCATGTCCGTCAAAGTTATTAGATTCAAAGATTAGTAATTGGTTTACACATATACACATTAATATTATGATTAAAACTGGAATTATTACGTAGATACTGGGTAAAGTAAACTTACAAATAGATAACAAATAGCTATGATATGAACATGTAACGGATGGAACACAAAAGGCAGCACGACTTATCCAAGCTTGATATGTTGGGGCGCGGTTAATGTGGTCCATCCTATGGGCACCTTGCTACGCTGTAGCTCAGTGAAAAGAAAGTTTGAATGGGACTCCTCGCGTGCACGGTTTATCTCGTTGAGAGAACGTAACCAAGATGGGCCATTCAGAAAACTCTATATAATACAAAACAATATGAACTTTGATAAGTCATCGGCGAATGCCAATGAAACCATATATGTCCAGAGCAACGATTGGACCAGATGCTCTACCAAGAACCGTATAGCACGTCGCTGTTTATCAAGTAATGATTACAATGACACTTGAAATTATAGCTTAATATTAAGTTAATGGGTTGGATAATTGAAAGGAGCTGTTGGTGCTATATGTCTATTATCGCCATGAGGTAGATTATTTAAATTCAAAGTCATTAACTGGTAAATCACTGGAACGAAATCCTATCCTAACACTGTACATCAAGTAACGTTCCGACAGAGCTAGTCTAATTAATTGACGATGGACACTATGTAGCTGCTTTGATCGCAGAAATTGGTATCTGATATATGTCCTAGAGCGCCTCGTTTCATCGTCCAGGGGTCATGATCCTTGAGTCCTCTATATGCTTGGAGCAAGAAGTGACCATTCCGTGGCGAAACGAATGACCTGCGTAATATAAAGTATCGAGTTAGTTCCCAGGGCCAAAAGCACATCCCTGA